AGATCCCGGCAGTTTGTCCCGTGTCATCTGAGGGTCCTAAGGAGGGGATGACAGAGGGGTCGCCCCTGTCCAAGGCAGGACTCGTGGCTGAGTAGATGGAGCTTCGGAGAGAGGGCAGAATCATGGACCGGACCGCGAGGGGTCCGAGATGCGTTACCACAGCGTGGTTTGGAGTGTCAGCGACAGCCTGGACGCCACCGCCTGCTGCCCTTCCCTCGCCCAGCCCTCTAGGAAGCAGCGCGGCCTGGCGGGTGGGTGGCCGGTGGGCTCTGCGGCAGAGACCGGGAGCCATGGGCAGGGCTCTCAGCTGGGACCTGGCGCTGCGGGACCCATGGTTTGCGTCCACTTCTGAAGCCCCGGAAGGGCTTGATGGTGGCCGTGAGTAAGTGGGAGTGGGTGGGTTTCTGCCTGACCTGCCTGCCCGGGCGGTGGCAGCCTCAGTGGTCCGAAAGCTTTACAGAAACGCCATGGCCATGCCTCCAAGGCTCGAGGGCTGCTTGTGGATGCCCTGGTTCCCAGAGTCTGTCCGTGCTGGCACTGCGCTGGGTGTGGTGGGTGCCAGGTCCGAGAGACCACACCGACCCCGAGCACCCGGGGCGGGCATCGCCCTCAGGTCAGGTGCTCGAACGCGCAGGACTGTGTGGCAGCCCTCTCCCGGGTGTGGCTGGGCTTTGCACCCCGGGCGTCTCCTCGCCCACTGCCCGCGGCCTCCTCGCTCTGCACTCACCCAGGTAGGCGCCGTGGTTCCTGAGCTCCTCGGGGAACTCCTTCAGGTAGGATTCGCGGTGGGGGATGACCTTCCCGCCGCTGGTCTCCTTCAGCACAGCCCCGTTCCAATCGTAGGCGCCCACGGCTCCCAGCAGGACCCCGTCCTGGCACCGGGGAGGGGCGCGTCAGCTCTTGCTCCTGTCCCTCGGGCCTGTCTTCAGGAGCCATGCCAGGTCCTGCGACCTGTGAGGCCTCCGCAGCCGCCTCGGGCACCTTCCCCGGGCCGTTGTTTAGCCCTAACTGCCAGCTGCAGTCGTGGACTGTTATTTTAAAATTATTCCCTTTATTTATCATTAGCTATTTTTAATTTGACCAGAGCAAGACACACACACACACACACACACGCGCGCGCGCGCACGCACACACACACAGAGCAAGAAAGCAAGCCGCCAGTTCCGGGATTTGAACCATGGTCAGCCATGTGGGAGTCCAGTGCCCCTAACCATCATACCATCTACTGGCCCCTCTTTTTCTTTTCTTAAAGTTATTTAGTTATTTCAGAGAAAGAGGGGAAGAGACTGTCGACAGGGTCTCAATGCTGGTCCCTGCCCGGTCTCAGCTGGTCTGGACCATGGGTACCCATGTGCACACCCTGGATGCTCAGGGAGCTCTGAGGATGCGAACCCAGGACCTTCCTCTCTGGGTCCAGTCATATCACTGCAGTGCCATGACCTGGCCTGGTTCTCTTAGATTTTGAATGAGCCAAGGAGACCTTTCCTCCTGCCATTCTCAGCACAACATGGGTCAAGCTGACCCCAAGGAAAGGGGCTTAGGAAAAACAGGACGTAGTAGACACAAACTCCAAACCCAGGACCGAACCGCCACCCTGCCTTGGGCTTCAAAACCCCTGTAGGAAACCCGTTGTCACCATCCTTCCTTCCGAGGCCCCTTCGGGCTGTGCCTCCTGCCCTTGGCCTTCCCTAGCCGGTGGCGGAGTGTGGTGTGTCCCCGTGTGAGCTCCCCTCCACCTTCGCTCTGCAGTGAAAGTCATTTACTGCACCCCAGCCCTCACCAGGGTTGGGGCAATGTCCCTGTGCCCACGGAGCTCAGATCCTGAGCTCTCACGTAAACGTGGAGTTGGAGCCGTGGCTGACGCAGTCAGGGACACTGACACTAACCACGGCCAGCTCAGTGTGGATGGACATGGGGCAGGAGGAACCTTACTTATTTTTATTTTTACTTAATTTTTTTGCTAAGGGGTACATGTGTTCACTGGAGAGAGACAAAAAAAGAAAGAAAGTGAGAAATCTCCCCCTGGGGGAGAGCCATGATGCAATCCCGTGTCTGTCAGTCCCCTTTGGGATCTTGGACACGCACGCACATACACACACACATGCACGAGCATGCACACAGGCATTCACCCAGTGCGACTTTCAAGCTGTCAATTCTGGGACTTGAACCGCAGAGTTGGCCACGTGGGATCCAGCACCCTCAAAGCCATGCCACCTGCTGGCCCAGGAAAAGCCTTTTAGAAGTAGTGCTGGTTACCCAGGAACCCGGAAGATGGGTGGGGCCAGACAGGAGAAGAGCTGGAGGAGAAAGAACTGCTTGTGCAAAGGCCCCGGGGCTGGAGAGAGTTAGAACCTTTGTTTCTAAGGAACTGGGAAACGTTTGGGGGCTCGAGCACAGACGGGGCTCTGCCCCTTGAGGAGCGGAGTGGCTGAGACGGGGTGGACAGACATGCCGAGGTCACTTCCTGGACATCCCCTCCGTGTCTCCGCCCACCTGCCAGCCCTGTGCTCTCTGCTCTGGAGTCCCTGCCCTCCCTGGTGTGCTGACCCCGCCCTCCCTGGCGTGCTGTGCCCTCAGGAGCAGCAGGTGTGGAAGGAAGTGCCAGAGACTAGTGTTTTGAGCAGACACTTAACCTCTGGTGACTTGGTTTCTTTATCTGAGCCCCGGGAGCGTGGAATCCGGCCCTACCCACCTCACAGAAGAGCTCGCATCCGAGATGCGGAAAGTAAGAGGTACGTAGGGCGTAGGAATCGGAATCAGGAGGCCTCAGTACACCTGCACGGAGCCCGCCCGGGCAGAACAGGCACACGCACATGCACACGCACACGTGCACGCACACACCTGGGACACCGCACGGGAGCAGGCGGTGACGCAGACACGTGGTCAGCACGCTGGCAGCCACAGCAGATGTCACCCTCTCTC